CTTCAGCGGCATCAGCAGCTTCATCGCGTCCAGCTTGCGCTTGGCCTCCTTGCATTTGGTGCGCTGGTTGAACGACGGCCAGGAACTGTCGCTGGGATGGCGGGCCGCTTTTGAGATCAAAAAGGAAACAGGCGCTGACGTGAACAGCGCCTGCTTCTCCGCCACATCCCCCTCCCCCCCCCCCCCCCCCAACCGCCGCCCCTTCCCCCCTCCCCGCCCTCCGCCCTCCGCCGCGCCGCCTGCCAGCCTGCCGCCCCCTCGTCGCCGTCGCCGTCGCCATCGCCGATCAGGGCGTCGGTCGCCCGTCGATTTCGCCGCCGTCAACGCGTCGCTGCCGCCGTCGCCGCTAGCTGCTGGACCGCCAAACGCCCCTGCAGCAATATGGAAAGGGCCGCGGAGAGGCACTGATCCATTGCGAACTTCGAGCGCCCCGACTCGTAGCCAGCCTGCTTCTTCTTCCGGGCGGGCTTGGCCTGGGGAAGCCTGTCTTAGACTGCATTTCTAGCAGAGCAGAGGGCAGCGAGCGGCCTTTCCTCGCTGCAAGGAGCGCAGCGCAGCATCGGAGGAGGAGGGGGATGAGGAGGAGGAGGAGGACGAGGAGGAGGAGCGGGAGGAGGAGCGGGAGCAGGAGGAGAAGGAGAAGCAGGAGGACTGAACTGAACTGGCGATTAGCAAGGGCAGTGCGCGCGGAGCTCGCTCGGGCCACGCGTCCTCGCATTTACCCCCTCATCCACATCCCGCCTCCATCCCCCTCCCCATGCATACATACATACCCGCCGTATGCTCAAGCGTTCCAGCCCAGCCTGGGATCGCAAAGCGCAAAGAGAAGAGAGCGAGGGGGCGAGTGGGCTGAGTGGCTGAGTGGCGGTCACTCAGCGGATTGGACTAGCTGGGGTTTCCAGCTCTACAAAATAAGGATGATCAGTAGCGTTGCGTTTCGACTGCGCCACGCGCCCCCCGAGCTAACCCCTGCCCCCAATTCAGCCCCATCAGGCCTCATCGTCCTCAGCCATCTCCTCGGCCTCGGCCGCCTCCTGTAGCTGATGTTGTTGCGCTCCGCGCTGTTGCTTACGATGCTGAACCCAAGCCCTCTCGACGTCGTGAATCTGGAGATAGTTCTCCATGAAGCTGCGACCAGCACCCTTCTTCACCTCGCCACTCATTTCTTCACGATGGTACATGAGAACGCCAGAAGGGGTCTCGGGGCGCAGGATGATCACGCCATGCATTACAGCTGTCATCATGGCTTTAACCTGGGGGTTGTTCGGCTCCCTCTTCGCGGCAAGGTAGAATCCTTCCATGAGCGTGGCGCCAGCGATGGTACGCAATGACCTCTTAGACTGGTCCAGAGTATCTGGCACCGCCATGGTCGCACCACAGCGCGCGCCCTTGCGGATGCCACGATCCAGGACGCTAGTCCAATACTCCTCCTTCGTGCACTCGCTGTCCCTGTCAGCGTTCAAGGCGTGGCGCTTGAACACTTCATCGCCGCTGTCGTTGAAGAACGATGCGCTTTGCATAGCGTCGCTCGCCACCCAGTCCTGGTCAACCTGCGGCTGAGGAAAGGCGCAGGGACGTGGCCAACTTGGAGAAGTAGGAAGATACGAATAAGGGGAATAGGGGTCAGGGAACAGAGCCTTGTTGCGAAGCTCGCGGCCCTTCAGCCCAGGGTAGCGGAGATGGACGTTCGCGAACTCTGCAGGTGCGGACCCAGATGCCGACATTGCCCTGTCCAGCCTGCAAATTCTCAGCGGGTGGCAAAGGGCGCGCCAAGCGTATCCGGACCACCTCGAGCAATAGAGCTACACGCGGCAGCGACGAGTTGAACCTGACATCCTGACATCAACGCAGCGCCCAGACAAGAAAAAAACTTCTCCTCACCCTCTCATCGTCACCTCGTGGTCGCGCTCGCCCTGCGAGGAGGGGAACTCCTCCTCCTCGGGGGGAGGGGCGGGGTGGGGTGGGGTGGGGGGGGGCCGGAGAACGAGCAGACGCAGGGCGACGAGGAGGAGGCGGACGAGGAGGACGCGGACGAGGATGGGAGCATGGGGACGGAGAGAAGGAGGAGGGAGCAAGGGAGGATGGAAGAAGGAGGAGGGAGGAGGGGGGAAGGGAGGTGAGGGAGGAGGGAGGAAGGGAGGCGAGGGAGGAGGGAGGAAGGATGGGGAAGGAGGGAGGATGCTTCAGTCGCAGCACGCACGCCGTGATGATCGTGATGCGACAGCTGGTAACACTTTAACGCAAATGCATTGCAATGCACCACCCGCATGACGAAATACGCGACACAAGCTGCAACATTGAACTGCATAACAACACTGATATTCACCAGACTACAGTTTAATCAACTCGATCATATAGCACGGGCTGTCTCACGCACATTACATTACATACCGTTGAGGGCTACATGCGTAACTAATTCGACACGTTGGTTGGACAGCACCAATGCAACAGCCAACCATTAACGAACTCACACATCAATTTCGGACAATACCTACAATGATGTACCACAGATGCGTGCACCTCCACAACACCACATTCAGTGAAGGACAGCAGCATCAACTCGATCAGCCAACTGGTGAGCACCTCCCCAACGCCATCCTCAGCTGGGGAGCACATCCCCAACTTCATGTTCAGTTGGGGGGTGCACCTCCCCAACTTGATCATCTAGTTGGGGAGCATCTCCCCAACTCAAGCCTCAGCTGGGGAACACCTCCCCAAACTCGTCCTCAGTTGGGGGGCACACCCCCAACTTGAAGATACAGCTGGGGAGGACCTCCCCAACTCGACCCTCAACTGGGGAGCACCTCCCCGAATTCACCCTCAGGCGGGGAACACATCCCCAACTCCACCCTCCAGCTGGGGAGCACCTCCCCACCTCGACCCCCCAGCTGGGGGGCACCCCCCCAACTCGACTCCCCCCCCCCCCCAGCTGGGGAGCGCCTCCCCGCATCGACCCTCAGCTGGGGAGCACATCCCCAACCTCACCCTCAGTTGGGGAGCACCTCCCCAACTCGACCCTCAGCTGGGGGGCACCTCCCCAACTTCACTCCCAGGTGGGGAACACATCCCCAACTTCACCCTCCAGCTGGGGAGCACCTCCCCACCTCGACCCCCCAGCTGGGGAGCACCTCCCCAACTGAGACCTCAACTGGGGAGCACCTCCCCGATTCGACCCTCAGCTGCCCCCCCCCCCCCCCCCCCTCCCCCCAGTCCCCAACCTCACCCTCAGCTGAGGAACACCTCCCCAACTCACATCCCAGCTGGGTGGCAGCCCCCCAACCTCATCTTCAGATGTCGGGCACCCCCCCCAACTTGATCACTCGGATGTGGACCATTCCCACGCGCGGCCACCAAGTGGCCAACACAGCTCACAGTTCCACGCGCATTGTGCTAGTGTACCTCGTCAGATCACACGCAAGAGCACGGGAGCACGGGCAATCCGATGCAGCAACGGCGATGCATTCCTTCGCCTTGCGCCTGCCACCACTGTCGCCGACTGTCGCCGCCCGCGTCCCCTGCGTCCTCGTGGGCATCGCCGTCCTTGTCGTCGTCGTCGTGCTCGTCGTCGTCATCGTCCTCGCCGCCGCTGCCGTCGCAATCGCCGTCGTGCGCTCTGGCGGTTGGAGGGCGCGGCTCCGCGACAAAGCGCGAAAGGAAGATGACGCGAGACAGAGCGTGAAAGGAAGATGCAGCGACACATAGAAGGGTGCTCAGAAGGGGCGGGGGCACGCGCCAGGCACCACCAGTCGGCTACGACCAGACGCATTGCTGACAGGCGCCGCTGTCTCAGCCACAGGACGGGCAGTAATTGACAGAACATGTTGGGCATAACGTGAGCAGTTGACACATGCATCGACACTATCAGAGGACGTGTTGCCTGGCCCAGGCAATCGTTGGATGACATGACGAGCAGGAGAGGCACGGACTGACAATGGCATGTTGCTCACCCCGCGCAGTTTGCGACACCGCCAGATTAGCGCGCATGTTGCCCCCGCGTGCGGTTCCAGGCCCACGGCGCAACCCCTTGCGAGCGGACGAGTACGTCATGCAGCCTCTTCTGCCAAGGCCCTCGGTTTGCGAGCCATGGCTGCACATGTGACTTAGGCTGGGCAGATACTCAGATGACATATCTCGCAGATGGGCCAGTCCGAGCGATTGACCTCGAGTCCCACGACCTGGCTCATGCTATCTAGCTCGCCGTATGTCGTGATTCACGTGGCGTCCCAGGGGCCTCCCTCGTGAGACTGCGACCTCCTCCTTTCCTGTCCTCGTCCTTCCTGGAGCGGTGTTCTACCTCCCCATCATCATCTCATCCTCCGCGTGCTCCTCACCTCACACTCCTCTCGGTCTGTCTGCCTGTCCGTAGCTCTTTGTTATGTATCGCTCTCTCTTTGTCCCTGTCTTGTTGATTGGGTGTTGGAGAGAGTCTCTCTCTCTCTCTCTCTCTCTCTCTCTCTTCCGCTTCCTCTTTCTCTCCCTCTCTCTCTCACACGCACTCTCTTTTTCTTGTTCTCTCTCTCTCTTTCTCTCTCTCTCTCTCTCTCTCTCTCTCTCTCTCTCTCTCTTTCTCTCTCTCTCTCTCTCTCTCTCTCTCTCTCTCTCTCTCCTCTCTCTCTCTCTCTCTCTCTCCTCTCTCTCTCTCTCTCTCGCTCTCTCTCTCTCTCTCTCTCTCTCTCTCTCTCTCTCTCTCTCTCTCTCTCTCTCTCTCTCTCTCTCTCTCTCTCTCTCTCTCTCTCTCTCTCTCTCTCTCTCCTCTCCCCCCCCCTCCATCCCTCTCTCCCTCCCTCCCTCGCACTTCCACTGGACCTTCCACCCCCCGGTCCCCCATGCCACCTCCACCAGGGTATCCATCTCTCTCTCTCTCTCTCTCTCTCTCTCTCTCTCTCTCTTCAGTCTCTCGTCCTTCTATTATCGCCCTCATCCACAGACGCCGATGGCGCTCCAGCGCGCGCCGTAGCAGCCAGCTGCCTGGCGAATCCACACCCACTGCGCGGATCAACCTCGGCCGCGTCAGACTGGATGAAACGATGACGATCAATCACGGAGTCTGCCATATGTTGTATAGTCAGCACTGCAGGCGTCATGCCTGGCCTCAGCGGGCCAACTGCCTTCACCATCTTCGCACCAGTGTTTGGAACCAGATTGCTGACCATCCGAGTCGAGACGAGATGCGAAATGTCGATCTTCTCTTGAGGCCGAGCGTAGACAATTATGTTAAACGTGTCGAGGGTGACGTACCTCCCCACGCTGCCAGTCACGCTATCCCAATGAAAATACTGAGTCCGCCTGGCCAGAATACTATGCGGCTGCATGGGGTCTGGCTCGCTCATGACGAATAAAGATACATGCTTATCAACCGCAACGTTCTTCTCGAACTTCTCGTCCTTGCCGACCGGGTTCACAACCACTTCAATGAGTGCCTTGAGCGTCTGCATGGCTGCCGCACCCCATTGGGCCAGAACCCGATGCTTATCGGCATGGTGCGCAGCATCACCTGGTGGCGCTGGCGCGGCAGGCTGCGCCTGCTGACCAATGTCCTGTGCCAGCTGGAGGTTCAGCAACGCCTCCGTCTCACGAGCGGCATCGTCCATGCCGAGGTTCTCGCGGACCACCTCGCCCATGCCCTGCGCGGTTGCCTCGCCGCCCGCGGGCCCGACGACCGCTTCCAAGTCGCGGGCAGCCTGGGAAGCTGCAGTGCGATCGATGCTTTCAGCTGCGACAATCACGCATCTGGCCCCTGCGTCCGCCGCCGACGCATCATCCTGGCCGTCGCGGCCCGCGGCAGCTAAGCCACCGAAGGCGCGCCCCGGCGCGTTGACCCACTCCGAGACATCATCCTCGTCGGGCTCCTCGTCGGAGGACACAGCCTCTGGGGGGATCGCAGCGATGCGACAGCGGTGGCGACAGTGGCGGCAGCAGCAACCTCAGTGGCGAGCGTTCCGAAGGGTGGGTCGAAGGGGGGCGGTCGGTGGTTTCAAAATCGCGGCGCCTCGTCGGGGCGCTTCTTGCGCTTCTTCTTTGCAGGCGCGGGGGTGACGGCGGCAGCATTGACTGAGAAGCGCATGCGGGGCGGCCCTGCCAAGGCTCTATCAAGCCGCGCCAACGACCACGTCAGAGGCACCACGTCCAGTTCGACCTGTCGATCCGAATCGCACTCGAGGATGGGCGCGGCGATGACATCCTGCAACAGATGAAATTGCAGCGGTCGGCGAAGCAAGACTGCGTCGTCCTGAAGCCGCAGCTCCGCAACCCAGACCCGCCTGTAACCCACCCCGCACTTCATGGAGGTCAGCCACGCACGAGTGGCAACCACGTGACCGATCGGGCATGGGGTGGTGAAACATAGAATCCCTTACGCACTCCTCCTTCTGACTCCTCCTCCTCCTCCTCCTCCTCCTCCTCCTCCTCCTCCTCCTCCTCCCCCTCCTCCTCCTCCTCCTCCTCCCCCTCCTCCTCCTCCTCCTCCTCCTCCTCTCCTCCTCCTCCTGCTCCTCCTCCTCTCCTCTCCTCCTCCTCCTCCTCCCCTCCTCCTCCTCCTTCCTCCTCATCCTCCCCCTCATCATCCTCATCCTCCTCCTCCTCCTCCTCCCCCTCCCCATCCTCTCACCCCATCCCCTGCGTCTCCCCCGCCTTCCTACCTACCCCCCCCCCCCCCCCCCCCCCCCCCCCCCCGTTCACCTTCCTGGCTTCGTCGCTCGCCTCTCCTCTGCGATTGTTGACCTGTGGGGGCCCGTGCATTTGCGACGAATGCCGTGGCCGATGACGGCGCGCGCCCCTCGCTCGCAAACGTGCCCGCGAAGTTCCCCCGCGCGCGCTGGAACGCGAGCGCGAAGTCAGGCCGCCCTCTCGCCCGAGAATGCGACGGAAGACCCAAGTCATTATCATCTTCGGCGCCGACCTGGCGAAGCGTCGGGGCCTCCCGAGGCCCGTTCGTGCCCCGTCGGCGCGAGCCCCACCCCCACCCCTAGGTGAAGCCCCGCGAGGGCCTCACGGAGGCGGCCCCCTCACGATTGATGGGCGGGCGCCGAAGGCGATGATGACTCATTGGAACGACTGGCGGGGCGAGGCAGAGGGCGGGGATGGCAGGGCGGAGGGGGGGGGGGGGGGGCGGGGGGGGGCGCGGGGAGAGAAAGAGGAGGAGGATAAATGATAAAGAGGACGAGGAGGGGGGGGAGGAGGAGGGGGTGAGAGCTGGGGAGGAGGAGGAAAACTAATACATGTGGATGATGAGGAAAAGGGCGTCGTAATGTTTGAAACCCCTCGCCCCGTCCCCTAGGAGGGGGTGAGCGGGGGATGATGTGGGAGGGCGTCGGGGCTGCGTGCCTACGATGCCCCCCCACCCCCCATTGCATGCATATCCTTGAAGTTCACGCCTCGCGCGGGCGTCCTCATCGAAACCAGGAGGTGCGCCAGGCCGCGGGCGCGGCGGCGGCAGCGGCGGCGCCGCTGCTGCTGCTGCTGCCACTGAAGCACCTGCGTCGCCGTCCTGCAGCGGGAGCGGCTCGACCACTGCCTGCGGCGGCTCGGCGTGCGGCGCGACGGCGGCATTGCCGTCGCTGGCCCCGGAAGCGTTGCAGCGCTCTGCATCCTTCGAGGCAGGGCAGGGCCCAACTTCCGACCCCTCCCCCCCCCCAAAAAAAAACACACAGAAAGCAGCTATTGCCCATGAGCGCTTTTGGATTGTCAGAAACCTGCTATTGGGCAAGAACTGTTCGGCTTATTTTTTGTGTCGCCTTTATCGACACTCAGCCTGGCTCAGCTGACGGCAACGGCTCGACCCTCTCCCCCGAGGCCCTCTGGGCCCCTGATCCCTCCCTCCGCCCCCCCCCCCCCCCCCCCCCCCCCTTCAAGCCCAATGCCCCGCTATGCCGCCATGCTATGCTGAATAATCCGTGGGAGGAAGCGGGTTTGACACCTAGGCTGTCCTGAAGCATCGCCATGCCACCAGGGTACATCTTCACGCAATCCTCGAGAAAGAGTTCCATGTTCGGCTTCTGCATGCTTACCACTGTCTTGTTCACAACTCTGGCGTTGAGAAGCTCTGGTGGAATGGACGGCGCGGATGCAAGCGTCAACTCGGTTATTGAATTGAGACCCTCGATCTCTTGGGTGTCCACTGGGACCGCCCGCATCACCCTGGACATCAAGTAGTGAAGCTGACGGTCGGGCAAGCCGCTCGTCGCCGCGTCGCCCAACTCATTGCGACATGCATGGGCGACTCTGAACTCAATGCGGGGGGTGCTGGCGTCGTCTAGCGCGAGCAGCTCATTGGCGACCCACTGGCGGCGATCGCATTGTACATCTGGTGGCGTTTCACACAACCACGCCAAATAATGAGGTAATTCCATCGCCTGCAACGCGAATCGCATGTGGAAGTCGGCTGCCGCCTCGAGCACAAGCAACGCCGCGTCAGCCATGGCGGCGCTGCGCTTCTCCTCACCGCGCGTGTGCTCATGCACCAAGCTGCGTAGATCTGTCGAATCCAAGATCGCGTCGAACTCTGCTGCGGTGGCAGCAGCCTTGTGGCACGCCAAGTTCTGCATGGTGGACTTGGGAGGCAGCCCGCCGTGGTCAGCCCTGTACTTTGTCGCGTGCAACGCCTGCTGCTGCAACCAGTGCGACACGTGCAGGATCGGCTTCTTCGCCGCTGATGCCACCCCAAGGTTCAACCAGAACTCGCCCCCCCGGATGTCGAGCATCGCCTCCCTGAGCCAGCGGCCAACCACCTCGCTGCACGTTTCTTCCGAGTCTGGGTTCTGCGGCATAGGCGTTGCAGGGCCCTTCTTGGCGGGCTTCGCCTTCGCTGTGACGGTGGCATGGTGCTCCATCGCGAGCGCCTCGTGAACCCCCCGCACCAACTCGGCTTGACCGCGCAGGAGCCAATGCGCCTCGGAGGCACCAACACTTCCCCAGCGACCGCTGAGCGGCCTCGGCGGCAGTTTGCCTGCGACCACCTTCGCCCGAGGCTCTCCGCGCGAGAGTCTCCAACAAGTGTAAATAGTTGCCTGGTTGCCAGACGAGCGCCAGATGTTGGTGAGCTTGGCTAAACTCGAGAAGTATCTGGGGGTCATCCGCGTCAAGTGCCGACTGACTATTCGATGGCATTGGTGGGCCATGCAGAACGTCCAAAACACCCAACTGGACGTGGACGCAGATGCAGCTTCGAACAACCTGCTTCGTGCACCCACTTGGTCTGGACCTGCGTCCGCCCCGATGACATATGATGAAATGGCGGATGCCAGCGTCACGCAGCCGATCCAACTGTGGCTGTCTCACAACGCATCGGGAGCGCTGCGGGCTGTCGTCGCCAGGCCGCGGCCACGGCGTGTCCAGGCCGACGGAATTGATGACGCGCCCCCAGAGCGCCAGCGACGAGGCCCCGTCGCTGCGGCAAGGCACGAGCGCAAGGTCTGGCCAGCCGAACCTGGCCTCCTCCAGGAAGTCTGCCTAGGAGGACGCGGTAAACACGAGGTCACGAGGGGGGGGGGGGGGAAAGGGGAACTGCGCAGGAGGAGGGGGGCGGTGGCGACCGAGGCGAGGAGGCGGAGCAACGACGGCGATGGAGCAGGATGGAAAGATGCACTGCGGTGCCTCCTCGCAAGGTGTCGCGATCATCGGGGCCATGAACTCGCTCCAGAAGTCTGAGCTGAACAACTTGGGAAGAGGCGACCCGTCTCTCTCTCTCTCTCTCTCTCTCTCTCTCTCTCTCCCTCTCTCTTTCTCTCTCTCTCTCTCTCTCTCTCTCTCTCTCTCTCTCTCCTCTCTCTCTCTCTCTCTCTCTCTCTCTCTCTCTCTCTCTCTTTTTCTCGCTCCCTCTCCCCTCCCTCTCCCTCTCTCTCTCTCTCTCTCTCTCTCTCTCTCTCTCTCTCTCTCATATCTCTCTCTCTCTCTGTTTCTCTCTCTTCTCTCTCTTCTCTCTCTCTCTCTCTCTCTCTCTCTCCTCTCTCTCTCCTCCCTCCCTCCCTCCCTCCCTCCCTCCCTCCCTCCCTCCTCCCTCCCTCCCTCCATCTCTCTCTCTCTCTCTCTCTCTCTTCTCTCTCTCTCTCTCTTTCTCTCTCTTCTCTCTCTCTCTCTCTCTTCTCTCTCTCTCTCTCTCTCTCTCTCTCTCTCTCTCTCTCTCTCTCTCTCTCTCTCTCTCTCTCTCTCTCTCTCTCTCTCTCTCTCTCTCTCTCTCTCTCTCTCTCTCTCTCTCTCTCTCTCTCTCTCTCTCTCTCTCTCTCTCTCTCTCTCTCTCTCTCTCTCTCTCTCTCTCTCTCTCTCTCTCTCTCTCTCTCTCTCTCTCTCTTCTCCCCGGGCCTCTCTTCACCGTCCACCGCGCCCGTCCACCGCGCCAGCTGCTCCACTCCGCTATCCTCCCCGACCTCCTTCTCCTCATCATCCTCCTCGGCCCTTCCTCCTCATCCTGCGTGGTTGGTTTGTTGGGCGCGTTGGAATTCCAGCGGCACTTTGCTCGACCTGATGGTCGCAGCGTTCGTGGCGCCCCCCCTGAGGCGATGGAGGTCCCACGAGACAGTCTGCGTCGAGCAGGCGCCGTCGATGGCCTTGATGCAGGAGACCAAGTACGAATCCAACGCCATGTAAATAGCATCGAACCATCTACGATGGCGGCGAAGAACCGCGGCGGCCAGCAAGTGTTCGCATTGGGCGACGCACTGGCGGCTGACGGGCACCTCGAGGACTGCGGCTGTCGAGCTGCAGCCGCCGCAACCGAGGGTCTGTTTCCAAGCGAGCCGATGCTTGCCCCATGTTGTGAGATGGCGGCGGTGCTGATTGCGTTTGCTCGACTCCTTCAAAAACTGGTTTTCAGCCTTCAGCCTCGCCGCCTCGCCCTCCAGGAAAGGGAAATAGCAAGGGGTGGGATGGGGAAGGGGAGAAGGGAGAAGTCGCGGGTCAAGCGAGGAGGATGGAGGTCCTCGAGAGCGGTGACCTTCCCGCCCCGCCTCTGCGAGCGGGCCTTGAGAGCGCGCCGGCGCTTCTCCTTGGCAGCACGCGAAGCGAACCCGCCACGCTGGCGCCACTGGGGACCCTGGGAAGACCTGGCTGGCGGACGAGGAGGAGGAGGATGCCTGAGGATGAGGAGGACGAGAGGAGGAGGAGGGAAGGAGGGGAGGAGGATGAGGCTCGGAGGAGGAGGAAGAGTCGAGGAAGACGAGGAAGAGGAAGCGGAGCTGAAACGGGGATGGACCGATGGGGCCAGCCCTAATGGCTCATGGTTAATGGGGTGGTGGATGGTCATTGAGCCCATCCATCACCTCTGCAGCCTCTGCAGCGGCTGGGAATCAG